TCCATTTGATTTTTCAAGAACTAATCATGTCAGCAGTGTCTTGTGTACTGACTGGTGTAAAAGTGCCAAAACTTCAGGAGGTTCAACAGTAAGTTGAATTTAAACTGTAAATATTTCTTGGTGTACACGGGGAAAGATGTTGTATGAGCCTGAGAAAAATTAACACTGAAACCAAGACTATCAAAGAACCTTAACCTTGTGATTCTTTATTAAATGGCCAGTTTGGACAATTTTAGTTTTTATTTATTTATAGAAAAATGTTATGATGCCTGCAGTCCACACATGCAGTGGTTCCAGGCAAAGTGACAGTCGTTACAAATAGTGAAGATCTCATATATTGTTATTGTACATGTCGATCTGGGCCGGCCCTGCCTTTGTGTAAGCTCATTAAGAAAAACTTGGACGACTGTTTGTTTCGTCTGTACTGAATGAATCAAAGTGCTTTCTTCTAGGAATCTTTTGCAATTAAATATAAATGCAGTGTTTGTTTCTGTGCCAGCTGTTTACCTAATGTGTTCAGTCATTTTTAAAGTTGGACAGCCATATTTATTTCAACTGATGATACACTGTGTTCTGTTCAAAAAGATAAACTTCATAAATTAATGCAACTTTGATGATGTTTGAAATGTAAAGAGAGTCATAAATAAAACAGCCAGTTACTGTCACTAATGTCACGTGTCTGTTATAACACAGTTGTCTGGCACTGATCAAATTATATAAAAGTTATACAAAAAACCCTCATTACAGCCTGAATATTTCTAGGTTGTTTCTAGGATGGATGGTACACCCACCGCACTGCTGACAACATAATGTTTCATGGGTATAAAGGGAAAAATAAACCTTACCTCCGCGTTCAGGAAACAGTACAGAAGCGCTACGACGAATCCCTGAAACAACACGTACAGAAACATAACTGACAGGCTGCTGTTAGTGCATGTGGATATTTTTAGAAGCTTCCTGTTCTGGTCTCTCATACAACGAAGCTGCTGAATGCAGCAAATGATTCTTTAAAGAACTCTTTCTTCACTGCAGAAACAAATGCACTGTTCAAATACACACCAATGTTCCTGCCGTGTACAAATAGACTTCTGTGTGAGGAGAAAATTAAAGGTGGTGATTAGACAACAGCTTACAGGTGGCTTTACTGTACCTGAGTAGAAGCAAAAGCCAGCTCAATAAAGTTCCAGATTTCATAGGTCCTGCCGCGGACTTTGTGTGGAAGGAAAGCAAAGAGAATGTAGTGTAAGCCAAAGAGCGACACCAGGAGGAAGGATGACTTGGCAAGTTTCCTGTTGTTTGAAGAATAACAGCGTATGAACCGTTAGAAGTAAAGTGAGAAAGTCTACAAACCTCTTTGAAAATATCAGACAAATAATAATACACAGACCACTGGGATATGAAGGACAAAATAAAAACCTGTGATCAAAAACTTAAACACAAAATTGAAGCAGATGTCGGCCCTTTTACACATTTTTAGAATATAAGCTAACATTTTTTAAAATTTTGATCAAAAGGTTGAGTGACACAGAAACTCCGCAACACCGATTCACCCCCCCACACACCCTCTAGCAGATCATTACATGAAGGAACCTTTTAAAAACAAGCGCGTCCATGCTCACAGGTGTACACACAGGTGCTCGCACACACAAACTACACCCTATAGTTAATAAACACTTAAAGCCACAGAATAAAGTATTGTACAAACATGTGTGTGGATGGGTGAATGATGCCTGTAGTGAACTTTTCTCTCCAAGTGTCAGTTCATTTGCTACTTTCCAGCCTAGAACAGGCTTAGATGTAATTACATTTCCTCTTGTCACCATAAGGTTTTCCAAGCGTTCTGACTCAGGTGGAAGATTTATGGTATTACTAAGATCTAAGAAAAAGATTTGTGAGCATTTGAAAAGTTTAGTGTCACACTGTTAACTGCAAGTGCCCAGGTACTATTACAAAGTAAAGGTAATGTAATGATTCACAAATTACTTTCTACATCAGTAAATCACACGGGTGTTTAAATGCAGATTTAAAGCGTATGAGTAATATTTCAGACTTTTATTTGAGTAGTGAGTAGGGATGCAACGATACCAATTTTTTCAAACCGATACCGATACTTGGATCTGAGTACTTGCCGATACAGAGTACAAAAACCGATACTTCTACCACACACACACACACACACAAAT